ATCGATAAGAATGGAGACTATCTCATTTAATAAATGTTTTGATTTGATATATAAGTTGTTCGGGTTTCTTCATCTAAAAAAAACGACATTAATGTTTTGACAACCTAATATATTATTTGACAATGGTGAGGTGTCAAAGTATGTTGAAACACAAAGGTGAGGTAGATATCAGCAAAAAATATGAGGGATATATATATTCAAACAAAACTTGATCTATGAATATCCTGTGATTTTCGTGCACAACCATAATTGATGCATTCTATTAATAAACATTACTGCTTATGCTATTTCAGGTTCAGTTTATATTTTCCCCAAAAATTGTGTATACGAACCACGTAGCCTTTCTGTAAACGAATGACGCCACAATCGTAGTAGCCGGTACCTAATCGCCATTGTGAAACGATGCCAAATTGGCATGACAACACGAGCGTTACTAATGTTTAGTATCTCTTGCGAAAATCCGAAAAAAAAAAAAAGGAAGAAGAAATATACAAACAGGACACTTAAGCCCAGCGTAAAAGATAAGGTGATGAAAGTAGAAATTACTGGAAAATTATTAAGTGATAACAAGTTTGTAAACGTTATTATAAGTGGGCGGGCAGAAGAAAGAATTGTTTGTTTGTTTTTAATTATGCACAAAGCTACACAAGGGCTATCTGTGCTCTGCCCAACACGGGTATCGAAACCCGGTTTCTAGCGTTGTAAGTCCGCAGACATACCGCTGTGCCACTGGGGGGCGCAGAAGAAAGAAAGCACGTAAACTGTGCTAAAATCTCCCTGGTGTCGAACTTTTAAGTAATTCATCTCGGATTTTATGAACACATGCTAATGTCTTTAACAAAACATTATCAGTAACGTAACATATACGTGTGAATCAAGCCTAAAAATGTTAGAATATAACACATTTATGTTTCGCCCTGTATCATTATAATAATAATTAAAAAGTTATTGGTAAGTTATTTATGGGTCTCGTGCACTGTCATTTCTTGGAATTTTTATTTGAGGGGTATAAGGGGGCAGAGTTAATCTGGGAGGCAGAAAAAAAAACACTTTCATGTCAGTGGGAGTCAAAATGTGGAGAATTCAAAAATCTTAAAAACTATATATCAAATGAAGGGCTGCTGGGGAAATGCTCTGCAATGGGGTCTACTCCCTCCATCACGACACCTCTGTAGACACGCCCCTGTCTTTCACGATTTTCATATGCTACAAATGATTTGGTGAACAATGACTTGTAAGTTATTCATGTGTCTCGTCCTGTATTATAGTTATACGAACCAAAACTGATAAGATAGTTATATGTTTCGTCTTGTACTAAAACTAATGAGTTTAACAATACCTGACAGTTATATGTCTCACAACAACAGACAAGAATGACTGATGAGTCACGTGTCTCACCTGTAATTATAGTTAATCTAAAATGACTGATACGTAATTATAATTAACAATGACTGATAAGTCACGTGTCTCACCTGTAATTATAGCTAATCTAAAATGACTGATACGTAACTATAATTAACAATGACTGATAAGTCACGTGTCTCACCTGTAATTATAGTTAATCTAAAATGACTGATACGTAACTATAATTAACAATGACTGATAAGTTGTGTCTCTCTCATCTGTAACTTTAATTAATTAATAATGACCGATAAGTTTGTCTCTTTCTCACCTGTAAGTACACTTAGCGAACAATTGCTACTAAATTATGTCACCTGAAACTATAAGGATTGAAAAATGACTGATTAAGTTGTGTCTGTTTCACCTGAAACTACATTTGGCGAACAATGACTACTAAATTATGTCTAACCTATAGTTATAATTAACGAACAATGGCTGATAAGTCATGTGCCTTACTTGTAACTATAGTTAATTAACAATGACCGATAACTATATGTCTCGCCTGCAACTATAAATGTACGAATATAACTTCGTGATTTTTTGCAGAAATCTAACTACAAAGCTCAAAAGCGCCTTGGTTTCCCAATCAATTCAAAACATTAACAGAACATTAAATAATGAAAAAATAAAATAACGAAAAATAAAACAAATATACTTAAAATTACCTTCGGGATCCATTTCTCTTGTTGTTCGAATAGTTCAAAGATGAAGATATGTTGGGGGAAAAAAAAACGTTCAAAGCGTTCGCAAAATTTGAATTTTGTGTCCAGTATCGTAGGTCTTAAATATGTTTATCTACATTGTTTCTAATTTCGCACAAAGCTATACGAGGGCTATCTGCGCTACCCGCCCTTAATTTAGCAGTGATAAACTAGAGAGATGGCAGCTAGTCAACACCACCCACCGCCAACTCTAGGGCTACTCTTTTACCAACGAATAGTGGGATTGACCGTCACATTATAACGCCCCCACGACTGAATGTGAGGCGAACATGTCAAATACCACTATTCGGTCTTACAAGAGTAACGAGGAATCGACGATAGGTGGTGTTGACTAGCTGTCTTCTTTCTGGTCTATCAATTTAACCTTAGGAACGGCCAGTTCAGATAGCCTAACCTTGTGTAGCTTTGCGCGAAATTCAACGAATAAAACAAAATTCATTTTATACGTTCGCACAAGGTTAGGTGTAATGACAAACCTAGAAATTATCTTTCACTAGTAACAATGTACGTTGTTGTGTGAATTATGAAATGTCGTTTTCATAATATATATAATTTTCCTGCAAAATTTGAGAATTAAAAAGGGTGCCAAAAACCACTGTGTTTTCTAGTATCCTGATAAGCTCCGATCTTCAAGAAGATAACCAGTTTCCAAAGTAACCAAAATAAACCTTCTAACTTATTCAAGCGGATTCTTTAGTGCAAAAGAATTTTTCTTTTTAGAAATGATCAGTTTAGTAAAAACAAGGCTTAATAAACAATTTGTTTGTCGGATAATCGCGTAAAACTATTCAAAGATTACTTGAGCTACCCGTCCCTGATTTTAAATTGATAGACTTGAGGGCAGGTATTAAACAGCATCCACCGCCAACTCTTGGGCTATTTTTGTTTAGTTAAAGCACGAAGCTACATAATGGGCTATCTGCACTTTGCCCACCATGGGTGTCGAAACCCGATTTCTAGCGTTGTAAGTCCGCAGACAAACGGCTGTGCCACTGGGGGGGGGGGGGGGTTCTTATCAGACCGAATAGTGGGGTTTGATCGTTACCTTTATATTATTTGTTTGTTTTTTTAACTTTGGGCAAAGCTACACGAGGGATATCTACGCCAGTCGTCCCTAATTTTGGAGTGACAGTCTAGGGGGCAGGCAGCTAGTCAACACCATCCAACGCCAACTCTTGGGCTACGAATATTGGGATTGACCGTCACATTATAACGTCCCCATGGCTGAAATGACGAGCATGTTTAGTGACGGAAACTGGAACCCGCGACCCGTAGATGGCGAGTCGAGCACCCTAACCACTTGGCCATCCTTTTA